TGGGTATTGAGGCCATGAATCATGGGTTAGTTATTTCATTTTCACCTAGACCACTGTAGTGGTATATACTCACTGAGAGTTCTAAAGGCATAATTGTTAAGCAGATCATCTTAATTTGTAGTCTGAAGCCTTACAACATCAAAGGAAAAATACTACTACAAAAATCAGGTAGATAGTGCAGTTGCAGCTCTCAGTTGTGATAACAGACAATTAGTGGTTAGGTGGGGTGGGACCACACACTTACTGAAAATAGAGAACAGTTATGGGATAAGAGAAACAGTATGGGGCAAAGTAGAGAACAGTTAGTAAAATTGAGAACAGTTTGGCAAAGGACGACAAACCAGTTAAAGTTCCGTCGCTCATACTCTATGGAAACTATTGGACTTGGGGAAAGTTCTCGAAGCTCTTGTAACACTCGCGCTGCGTGTTCGTGCTACATGACCTTCTCGAACTTTCCCCGTGCCCAATAATTTCCATAGAGTACTTGCGCTGGTACTTTGACTATTTCGTATATAATAGGATACACGATAATAGTAGAGCTAAGATGAAGTCCACCCATGCATAATATTATTATAACTGAAGTGTAGCTAGTATGGCATTTTGAACATTATGGATCATGGAAGTTAACTGTTTCCATGTGGTAATTGTTCAAAAACCCTGATTGTGTTTGGTTATTAAATAATAAAGATTAGCTACCTTGAGGATAGAACACTATAGTTGGTGGTAGTATAATTATGCCCAATTTGGAAATTATGGTACATGAGCACAAACACAATGAAAGTGCAAACCCTCGGCGAACTGCGCATGCGCGGTACCACTAATTGAAGGGCTGGGCTTTTTATTTCTTACTCATGGTATCCCGCTAGTAGCTCGCGGAGAGTCTGACACGGGCTAGCTACAGTAGTAGATAGCATGCGGGAATTGATACATGCCCTTCGTTGTGACTTCTTGTGCCTTCAAGATACCACAGAGCGAGCGGACGCGGTCGAGGTAGGCCTGTGTTAATTTGCATATTAGCTCCTTGACTTGCTTTTCACGCCATAACTTTCGAACGCAGCATTTTTACCAAAATCGCTATTTTTAAAATAAAGCCAGTGTGGCACTGAACCCGTTGGTATCGTTTTTTGGCCGTCTTGTTGCGCGTAGCCAGAGAAAACGTGGTAACAGACAGACGGACGGACGGACGGACAGAATGACAAACCAAGTACTATAACCCTCGCTGCGCATGCGCGCCGAGGGGTTATTATCTGTTTTGAAGGGTTGTTGATAAAGATCCAACCGATTACTAGTGAAAATGTTGAACATTGTTGGCGAGCGGGAGCGACCCAACTTGGGATTTGCCCGCGATGTTCGGGCTGCACAGCTCTCCTTTCGTGAAGCAAGACAGATCTACCTGTCGCCGTTACGTATTGTAGATTGGCAGAACGTTGAGCAGGTGAGCAGAACGGTACTTACCTCACGCTCAGCTCGTCAGTCGTGATCCACCTGGCAGCTCAGCAGTATGTGCACGAGCAATCCTAGTGTATTTGCAAGTTGCACCTTGGAACCATGAAGATTGGGAAAAGGTACAGCCTCGGTCAGTCACCGAAGATTGCAGCGCATGCCGTCGAATGGAGGAAAGTTCTCTCGCTGGCTAGATCGATCGGCACATAGCGTGGCACGGTGTGTGAAAAATGTGTAAAAATTTGGAAATAATTTCGGATAAAAAGAAGCGCGTACAAAGCAGCGCATGCGCACTCACAAGACGTACGGCCGGCCGGTCGTATATATAATTATTATTAACCCCTGGCGCGCATGCGCAGCGAGGGTTACAGTACTTGTTCTGTCCGTCTGTCCGTCTGTCCGTCCGTCCACGTTTTCTGCCACCACACGCGACAAACAGGTAAAATAGCGACACCAACGGGTTCAGCGCTACACCCGCTTCATTTTTAAAATGCCGATTTTTGTGAAAGTGCCGCGTTCAGAAGTTATGGCATGAAAACCAAGTGAACAAGCCAATATGCAAATTAGCACAGGCTTACCTCGACCGGGTCCGCTTGCTCTGTGTACCTTGGAGGCCCAAGAAGTCACAACGAAGGGCGTTTATCGACTCCCGCATGCTATCTACTACTGTAGCTAGCCCGTGTCAGACTCTTCGCGAGCTACTCCGGGAGTAAACGCATATATACTACAAATAGCCCAGCCCATCAATTAGCGGTACCGCGCATGCGCAGTTTGCCGAGGATTTGCACTTTAGTGCTTTTCATTATAACTAGTAGGCGAATGCGAGCGGGAGCGAGCACACAATGACTGTATCTGCACGAACCTATTTACAACTTGAACCTTAGAACCACGAAGATTGCAAAGAGGTATATACAGCTTCCGTCAGGTATCGAAGAGCGCAGCGAATGCCAGCCAATAGACGAGAGTTCTTTCGCTGGCTAGATTTCCCATCGATATGACAGCTAGGCAGCGAGTAAAAACGAAAAAAGCGTGTTCCCTATCACGCAAGCGACGCTGATACAGACTAGCTTCTCTCTGCTCAGGAGTCTCACGGTACGGGCACGATGTTCTATTTCCCTCTCTCTTCGACGACGAAGGGCATCTTCTCTGGACTGACCCATGATTGCGAGAGTACGGAGCTACATACACACATTATTTTGAAACCCTTTCGGATAAAAAGAAGCGCGTAATCCTGGAGCATGCGCAGTTGGACGACGTACGGTCGTAGATAATATATAATTATTATTATGACGAAAATTCCGCGCCGTTCGTACCACTAGGTTAGCTCGCTCCCGCTCGCCAATTATATAGAAAATTCCGCTCGAACGAAAGACTAGGTTGGCTCGCTCCCGCTCGCCAATGATGCCTAGTTGCTACGTATATGCTGTTGGAACTGAGATGACCAAAAATGACAACAAGTACATGACATTGTAGTGCTGAATTCAAAAGGGAATAGATGGTTGAGTGGGAGGACGCTTATTGAGAAGTAACGTGTACCATACACTTGCACATGTTCTCATCTGACAACTGAGATCAATGGTCCATGTCCTGCTGTATTGTCCATCCCAGTATCCACGTCAGCTCCCGACTGAATGACAAAAGCAGCAATAGCACAACACCAAGAAAGGGGTTGCTGCACTTGACTTTGATATGCTTGGACGCAATAGCTACACTCCTGATTAATTATAGCAAATTATTACTACCTCTGATAGGAAGGACAGTCTCAAGTTTTGCCTAATACAATACTTGATGGTTTTCTGAACATTTGATAGGTTCAAGAAAGCTATTAGAGGTTCCATCATGGATGCTACCTTTTCTCCCTACAGTGATGCTTGGACGCAATAGCTACATTAACTTAATCCATAACCTCCCGATTAAAATAATTATTACTGCATTGTAACTACCTCCGATAGGGAGTGTTTTGGCTAATGCAATACTTGCTGATTTTCTGACTTTCCGAGGTTCACTAAATCACGTAGTTTCCCAAGGCGACGCGTCTAACCGGCTTAGACTACAGCGCAAGTCAGTCCCGCTGCAGTGTCCGTTGTAGCCCTTCGGGATCGCGCCGGCCGGCCGTCTGTGCGCGTTTTTCCCTGTACGCTTTCTCTAGCGTCTTCCTAGCTCTCTAGTAGTCATGCGCTGCTGCTAGAAGAGCCTGTTCCTGGCTTCTTCGTGGGAAGAACCGCTCCAGAAGCTCGGTTCACCGTCCGCGCGCGTGGCGTCTTTTCGAATTGAAGGCGTGGTTGCCGGGGCTATATACGAATAGTTACCGCGGAAGAGGTCACTAACAAAAATAGTAACCGCTAAACTCGCAATCTGATTGGTCAATTGCGTGTTACCGTAGTCTAATAAATCTCTACCCATCCTTTTCTTTTCAGTCTTCAAAAGGTGGCATTCTATATAATATTCATGTCTCAACAACTTGGTAGCTAGGTAGAAAGACAAGGCAAACAAGCCAACTACACCCAGAAGAGTTACCCTGGGTGAACCCACGACACTCTGCAGTCTAGGGGAGCGCTCTATATACCAACTGAGCTACCAGGCAACTCAGCTGGTAGGGGTTCCAATTTACAACACCACACAAAGGCACATCTCAAACCACTGCGCTTATGGCGCACAGTATACTCTCACTCAGTATGTATAGGAGCATGCAGAGTTCTTAGATATTCCAAGAATTCCAGGGGTCACTAAAATCCCTCTCTGGCTAGTTTTGTAGCTACTTCCAGTCTTATTCTATGGCTCGCATTAAACACCTCACATCTTACGAAGCTTGAGCATTTTCAAGGAGAATCGGTCAAAATGTTCTTCCAATAACCATACACTCTTGTAGCAGAAATTTACTTCATTGAAATGGCTGTCGATGGTACATGAATTCTGTATAATACTATGTGCTTCGGTTGTGAGCACTGGAAACAAAACAGGAAACCTTGCTATTAGACAGAGATTATCACTTTCAGGAATTTGTGACAAAGGAATTACTGAATGGTGTGTAATTATGATTGATGAGAGAGAAATATTCCTCGAAGACTCAAACAAGTGTTATTCCAGTTGCAATAACAATGCATGGATGACACAACCAGCACCAATTCATATTTGGAGTGGGACGTCGTCCAGTGGTTTAGTGTTTATGCGGGTGAAATTACACCTTGCAGTATTATATGACATGGGTTGCTTGTTTAGTTAGTAGCGACCACACTAGTTTATCTTTGTGCATATCAAGTGGATTGCACTTGGAATCAAGGACAAGAGATAGCACCAAATTGAACCATGCAAAGAATGTTGGCACAGTATTTCGATATATCCACAGTAAAAAAACACCACATTTGACACAAAACAATAATTATATATTTTGATATGAATGTATCACTGGACAAACGCTTGCTTGTCTTTGCAACCAGGATATTTCACCACAGCTTGTTAACATAACACAAAAGTCATTAGTTTCTAGACATTCCCAGAGGGAGTGAAATGTAATTTTTAAAATTACCCAACAAGTCTTACTTATCAGAGCGTCGGTAGACGCTCTATGTAGGGACGGCACGAGTGAAATCTCACGTGATCTGCGTACAAAACGCCTCAAAACTCGGCGAGAATGGCTAGCTATGCCTTCAAAACACACCAAAAATCACTCACGGGTCCATATCTACCTATACATATGCCCAAAAGTTGCATACGTCCCTGCAATTCTCGACACGAGAATCCGCTCATACGCGATTTCTGGTTTTCGTGTCATCATAATATTCTTCATCTTCTTCTTCTTTAAACCCGCTATCTCCTTACCAGTACCAGTTGAAGCGCTGATTTTTTCACTGAACGTCTCCAATTTTGCCGGAGGTGTGCACGGACATCAAGCGATCGTTTCTTTCTTGCCGCAAGTCACTACGGTAGATCATGGAGCTCTTCCATGGTCGACACTGAACAACGCCATTTGCTGCTAACTCAGCATCAGTGAGCCGTGCGCATGCGCCAGGCAGGGGCGCGGCGTTAGAGCGGACCATGGGGTCCCCGTCATGCGCTCCGTTTGGCTGCTGGTTTTTCGCTCGCCTGGGTTTGCTCCCGAATTTGGGCCTAGCTATCCGTCTTGTGGTAAGGAGCTACTGTTGTGTGTACTTTAGCTAGCTGCAATCCAGCTCATTTTTCTTTCGAGGTTCCACGCGACGACGGCCACGACTTCACGTGGCCACCCCCACGTGACACTCCGTGTCTGTCTTGTCCGCACTGCTGCTACCATTGTGCTGGATTCGCCACGGTCAAAAGTAAGTCTTGCTATTGCGATTACGAAAATAAATCATCACGTATAATTTACTCCAAGGTCTGTACTCTACTGCAGCTTGGGTTTCTTGAGTTGGAGCCACAGTTAATTATGTTTCAAGGTAACCTCTGCAAGTTGTCTGCATTCCCTCATGCTTATTTTAATAGGGGTGCCTGACAACTCTCCTTCCACTTCCAGTTCAACCTTCTGCATCCCCTCGGCCACTTCTCTGCTGACAGTCGTGGCTGATAACAAGAACCTCACCCTGTTCCTTCAATCGCAAGGCCTCCACTGCGCTCTACCACAGCTCTGCTGTCGTCACTGCCACCTGGGCTTCTCCATCCTTTGAGGTAAGTTCAAGTTTTTGCCTTATCGCTTGAAAAGGAGGAGGGCAGTAGATATTATGTGCAGAATTCCGAGAATATAAAGGCTGGAGGTAGATCCCTTTGTCAGTCAGACCCTGGTAAGGTAAAGGCAGTGGCTAGGGCCTCCTATCATGCTGACCCTGGTAAGAAAAAGGCAGCTGTTAGCCCAGTTGAAGAAAAATATTGCTGATATGGCTGCACTATAGAGGTAATAGGTAATGCAGGCAGTGGGAAGTCTACCCAGCCATTATATGATTATCTGGGAGTTGCTTGGCAGGTGGGGCTCTGAAGTGTTTTCCTGCCCCTTATCACCACTGCTGACTTGTACATTCCTGCACCCTTATATATACCACTTCTGACCTAGCCTTTGTTGCACTACCAACTCCTATTGTAAGAACATTCCTTACATTGTCTGTCTACTCCTCTGTATTATGCTTTGTGTTTCACTTGATGGTGCATACTATTTATATGTTCAAAGGGGTTGGACTGCAACTGCACTCTCAAGCTAGACCCTGAACCCTACAAACTTTTACTGCCCACTTGCTACTAGCTATGTACCCCTGATTTGGCCTCCACCTTTCACTTCAGCTGGAATAGACCTCTCCTAAAGAAAAAACTTTCCTTCACAATTCACAACAAAGCATATTGTATAATGAATGTAGGGTTAGTTTTGTACTTGCGCAAGGGCCCGCTAGTCTCTCGCGCAAGAATCGCGCAAAATTGCAAACTACGTCACGGGCATCGCTCCTGCCCCCACAATGCACTGCGAGTGTGTGTGCGATCAAATCTTCAAATCACAAATCTGCAGTGCATATATTTCTACCCGCGCGTGTGTGAACCCTAATGTGTGCAGCCCCTCGCTCACCGCTCTGCACTGCAAAAAGGGTGGGGCTGAGCATGTGCTAAAAAAGTAAGTGGAACAAGTGGAAAAATCATTTCTTCAAAATGAAGGGGGATGTAGGGATGGCGTAAATTATGAAAAAGGATACCAACAAGAAAGATGCTTCAGCTGAAAACAAAAATCATACATCCATCCCTACATCTTTCTTTAACTCACAACCTCAACTGTGATTTGTTATGAGTATACCCTACGCCAAAACGAGTGCCTACACATTCTTAGAAGAAAGATGTAGGGATGGATGTATGATTTTTGTTTTCAGCTGAAGCATCTTTCTTGTTGGTATCCTTTTTCATAATTTACGCCATCCCTACATCCCCCTTCATTTTGAAGAAATGATTTTTCCACTTGTCTGTACTATGTACTTGCATGGATTAGCTATGCCATACGACATCACACAAATTGTGAGCAAACTACAACATGTGCTGTAGAAGACGATGCTTGTACACTTCCTGCCGAAAGGGTAGCTATAATACCAAAATATGTCACGGTTTCCTCCAGGAGGAAAACAAACTAATGTGGAAATCATCTTAATCTTCGATAACTGATGAAAACACTTGTGTTTACTGATTGGTTGCAAAGAACCTAATCTCTGCTGAGAAAATCATTGAATCTGCATCTGCAAAACAGTCCTTAGTTACTTATGCTCCGGTGCGCATGTTCAAAGCGGGCATACGGTTGTCATTATGATGTGTGTGTGCAACTTCACTCAACAACTTAACTACTTGGTCATACCTGACTCTACCTGTGCCTCATGATCAAACCACCTTCCTCCACTTACGCAACTATTCACTAACCACACAAGCATCACAAACGTGGCATGCAGAAGAATTATAACGATCCACATAAGGTAATGTGTTTGCATATTATAAATATGTGTGCTACTTTTTATACCAGGATTAGAGGTGTATAGGTAGCTTGCTAATGTGGGAATAATTATGTGACGGGCACCATGCACATAAATAATGTTGTAATACGTGGGAAAATTGAACTCCTCACGCGTAATTGCCAAAATTGTGGGCATTCGTTCTAGTTATCTACATAGGTGTACAACAAACTCAGGGTATCCACATGCTGTTCCATTGAACGAGGCACTAACAGATAGCTTTCCAGAGAGGAGAGCTCCTTCTCATGCCATCACCCACGACTTCCTTACGCGAAGCCTCTCAATTGTGCTCAGTTTCTCCCTCCAGACTGATGCTTCTCCAAAGGGCATGGCATGTGCCCTCAACAGTAATGTCGGTCTGTTCAACAGCTACATGATGATACAGTGGGTGACCCTGCTCTTTATCAGTGAGAAACTGTGGTTTGTTTTGACGACACAAGAGAAGTGTGTCTTCTTGGCAAGGTCACATTCCAATGAACTAGTTGAACCTACAGATGATGTGAAATGGGAAGAGACCACTGTGCGCCTATGTGGCTATAAATTCTGTGTCATAACATTAGTTGAAAACCCTCGTGGCAAAAACCTGCAACCACGCAAAAAGCACCGCCAATTATCCACAGCGTCTAACCCGTCTACAGAGTCAGTTTCATGCTCCAAACAGAGACTAGCTGCATCAGTGGGTAGAAAACTGACTAAATAAATATTCCTAGAGTAACCTTTATCCCTCCACTCCACTGTACTGGCCTAAAGCTTGTCGAATATGCCAACGTTTTTTCGTCGTTTCAGTTTCTTGTTCTGAAGCAGCTAGTATTGCCTATAGCTGCCTGATAGTTGAAGTGCCAGAATAAGCATGACACACTGACACAAACCAACAACAAACCCCCCTCGCTCCACATGCACTCCTAATCACAATCATAGCAACAGTGTGGCATAGCTACTCCCAACTTGCTCAAGCCATAAAACAACGTACATGTTGTAACCAATTGGCCAAAAAGGGCTTATACTGTGGATATTTTTATGATCATAAG